TTGCGAAGAAGAGCAGGGCGCAGAGTGGTATACGTGATCGATCCGGACGGTTTCAATTACAGCCGAACCCCTCTTGCCCCTCCTCGCATCCTGGTCCTGGAGGTGTGTCCTGGTTCTGGTCATGTTCGATAATATGCATGGATTGATGGGCCTCGCAAGAAGTTCCAGTCGCCCATGAAAATAACATGGACTTGAAACTCAGACCCCCCGGGCCGGCTCCGCTGAAAATCGCGCCGCAGGAAGAACACCTGCGAAGAGAAAAAGAAAGAAAGAGAGAAAGGGAGAGAGAGGAAGAGAGAGAAAGAATAGAGAGAGAGAGAGAGAGAACAAACAAAATAAAGAGAGAGCGACACAGAGAGAGACACAGAAAGAGAGAGAGAGAGAGAGAGAGAAACAAAAAAAAGAGAGCGAAGGGGATCAGACGCGTTAGGGAAGCGAAGTTCGTCGATGGTCTAGTTCCCTGGCGGCCCGCGGAGAACGCTCTTTGAGGGCTCTCCCAACAGTGGAGGGACGCTGCTCGATAGAGGTGGAACACCCAGAGGCTTCGCAGGAATCGCCGCTTTGACTCCGCCGTCGCGAGTGGAGTTGCAGAACTGGGAGCAGCCGAGATCAGCCGAGGGCGCGATCGCGCAGTCCACGCTCGAGCTTGACTCTGCCCCACCCGCCATGCCAGTGCGTTTCTTGCGCTGCTGTAATGTCGCCTGCGCTGCATGCCTGTAGGTATCGCGCGCATCTCGTCCTCCTCCTCCTCCTCCTCCTAATCCTCCTCCTCCGCCCCCTCCTCCACCTCCTCCTCCTCCTCCCCCCCTCCTCCCCCCCCTCCTGCCCCTCCCCCTCCTCGCGCTCGCGCGCCAAGCCGGGCGGCGCACGGGGCGCAGCAGCGCATCGGCACTCCGCGCGCAGGCCGACAAAGACAAATAGGGAATGGAAGAGGGAAGAAGTGGAGGGGGGGCACCAAACAGAGGAGGAGGAGGAAGTGGAGGAGGAGGAGGAGCTGAGGAGGAAGTGGAGGAAGTGGAATGGAGGGAAGTGGAGGAGGAGGAGGAGGAGGAGGAGGATGTGGAGGGGCGGGAGATGGGGCACTGACCATATGCGGCGCGGAGCTGCCGGCCCCAGCGCTCAAGCGGGAGACGCAGCTGAAGGGCTGCCTCCGCCTGCGCGGGGGGCGTCTCGCCCTGAAGGCCAAACTCGACGAACACATCGCGGTCAAGCTTGGAGCCGACGACTCCGCCCGCAGCAACTGTACTTTTGACGGCAGGAGCTGCGCCATGGGCGCGCCTCAAAATATACAGGGAACCGCCAGTGTCGGCGATGTCTGCTTCGAACCCGTCTGGGGCATGCGCGCGCGTGTGTGTGTGTGTGTGTGCGTGTGTGTGTGTGTGTGTGTGCGTGTGTGTCTGCGTGGGTGTGACTGCGTATGTGTGTGCGTGCGTGCGTGCGTGCGAGCGTGCGTGCGACCGTGCGTGCGCGTTTGCGTGTGCGTGTGCATGTGCGTGTGCGTGTGCGTGTGCGTATGCGTATGCGTATGCGTATGCGTGTGCGTATGCGTATGCGTATGCGTGTGCGCGTGCGCGTGCGCGTGCGTGTGCGTGTGCGTGTGTGCGTGTGCGTGTGCGTGCGTGTGTGCGTGTGTGTGTGTGTGTGTTTGTGCGCGTGTGCGTGTATGTGTTTGCAAGCGTGCGTGCGTGCGCGCGTGCGAGCGAGCGAGCGAGCGAGCGTGCTAGCGTGTGTGTGTGTGCGCGCGCGTGCGTGCGTGCGAGCGCGCGTGCGAGCGTGCGTGCGCGTTTGCGTGTGCGTGTGCGTGTGCGCGTGCGTGTGCGTGTGCGTGCGCGTGTGCGTGTGCGTGTGCGTGTGCGTGTGGGTGTGTGTGTGTATGTGTGTGTGCGTCTGTGCGCGCGTGCGTGCGCGCGCGTGCATGCGTGCGCGCGTGCTTAGGGAGGGGGGGGGGGGGCAACTCGGCGAGGTTAGCGCGTGCCCTGCCAATCGACAAAGAAAAGAGCTGCCGCCTATTCATCTGCGAAGGAGGAGCGCGAGGAGAGCGTCTCGGTGAATGGGGTCAGGCGTCGCCCAGGAGCCTGCAGCGCTCGCGAAAATGTCGCGGAAGTTGGTGGAGGCGTCGGGGTTCTCGAAACGCAGTGCTACCTTCCTGCTCCAGTCAAATGCACGCACGACGATGTTGTCCTGATCCTGAAGAGGAGTGACCTGCGCATTGCAAGCCGCGCCAAGTGCTCAAAGGTCTGAAACGAGAAGCGGGCGAGGAAATCCTTAGATAACATGTTTGCACACGCCGCGCTGGCGACGTTCACCAGAGGGCTGACCACCAAGAGACCAAGAGACATGGAAGCCGTCGTACGAGATGATGGGGGCGATGGGGGGCGGGGTGGAACCGAATCTCGCGCACCTGTTGTTCTGAGACCTTCGGCGCATCAGTGGGTGCCGCGGTCTGCTTCTCAAGACCATTGCACCTCTCAGAGATGAGCGGGTGGCAGATGTCTACGTCCAGGGGGGGGCGCGCCTGCGAAACTTTTGGCGCGCGGCCTCTATCTTCTGGCCCTGGTTCGACCTGGCGGCCGCGAGCCGGCCCCGAAGCTGAGCGTGGCGTCGATTGACGTCGCGGCCCGTCAACGCTAGCTCATCTGCGAGCTCGCCCCACCGAGCTGCGCAATCTTGAACAGACGCACGAAGGCCCACGACGTCCACAATATTCTGCATCATCACCTGCTCGGGGCTCGACAGGCTGCCCGTTCCGGGGATGGGTAGAACCCCCATTTAGCAAAACGTGGTCTCGTGACAGCGGCCTCGGGCCCAAACCTGGCGGGCGCAGGCCTGGAAGACGGCGGTCGTGGCACCCTCTCGAGAACCGAAGACGGACATTTCACCAACCGACGTGTCAGGGCGGGGGTGCTGTCCACCCCCGTCTGTCATGGTCTCGGGCCGCCTGGAGGATGCGAGGGGTGTCGCGCTTCGGCCGATGGCGCCCAGAGACTTCGGCTGGCCGAGGGGCGCGGACCCGATGGGGGCGGTTGACGAGCTGCGCGCGGCAGCACCTCGCCGCTCGGGGCGTCGCGGCCTCCCCGTCGCGGCAGCGGACGAGCGACGGTTGGCAAGCGGGTCCCCGACGTGTTCGAAAATGTTTCAAACCGGGCCGCCGAGGGAAAAAAACCCGATCCACCAAACGAGGAGCCACAAGAGGCCGGTGTGGCGGGCCGCCTCGTCCGATCCTCAAGGAGGGGTCACCGAACCACCTCGGCAGATGCATAACTTGAGCCAAGATGGCCACGGAACTGGGCTTGAAGCTTCTGATGCGGCTTCGTGTCCGCAGCCGCTGCAGCCTCGCGAGCTCAAGAAGACTGCTTGCCCACGCCAGTGCCGCGACGAGTGCGGAACAAGGGCTCCTCCTCCTTCTGCCAGAAGCCGACGGGGCCGTCGACTTCGGTCGCTTGCTGATGTAGCACTCGGTGTTCTCCGCAAATTTGGGGAACGGCTTCCCCGATGAGCGGAGACACCTTCGCAGTGTTACGTGTTCTTGTTTTCCTCCTTCGTATCCCTCTTGTTTTTATTATTATTATTATTATTATTATTATTACTATTATTATTACTATTACTATTAGTATTATTGCCATGATGATTATTATTGTTATTATTATTATTATTATTATTATTATTATTATTATCATTATTATCATTATTATCAGAATTCGTATTAGTATTGGTATTAGTAATATTATTAATATTATTATGATTAGTATTGCTATTATTAGTACTATTATTAATGTTATTTGTCGTCTTCTGCTGCGTCGCCACTCCAACGGGCCGCCGAGACTGGACGTCGAGAGATGGCTCACGACGGCGCGCGGCTCGACCCTTGCGGCCCTCGCGAGAAGGGTGGAAAACTGGCCTTGGGTTGCCCCCGCCGTACTTGAGGACCACACCCCAGAAATCATCTCGAGCACCCGGAAAAGGGTCGAAAGAGCGTCGAAACGATGCCGAAACAGTCTCCCAGGGCCCGACACGTGAAAACCCTTGAGTTTCGGTACCTTTTTCGGTGCTCGAGATTCTTCCCGGTGGTCGAGGCTACAGTAGGTTGGAGCATTATAAGACTGGCCTCGGACCAGAGATACCCACGGGCTGCGCGGGGCAACGAGGCGTCTTGAGTCGAGAGGGCTGCGGAGAGAGGGGCAGGGGAGGGCAGGGGTCGTGAGGAGGGTCGACGGGAGGACGGCAGAGACGAGGCGGTGGACAATGAGTGCGAGGACGAGGGGAACGAGGAGGCGATGTTGAGCAGGGGCCGACCGTCCCGGCATTCCTGTAGGCCCACCACGAAACGTTCTTAGAACAACGAAAAGTTCCAGGAACAGGAGCCATGTTCTTAGAACAGAAGCCCGATGTGCTACAACAAGGCAGGCCCGGCCAGAAATGTTCGACGAACATCTCGGAGGCACCACAAACAAGTTCTTAGATCAGTGCTTGGTGGGCCTATAGGCACGCCAGCACTCTTCGCCACTGCGTGGCGATGGGGGACGGGAGCGGAGAGGATGCGGCGAGGGATGCTGACGGCGACCACGCAAGAGAGCGCGAGGCGGTCCCTCACGATGTCGTCGCTGATCACCTTCAGGGAGGGCGGCGCGAACTCGCTCTCGATGTCGACCTTGAGGCCCAGGGGCGTGCCAGCCTCCCGCGCCTTCGCCAGATTCAGCTCCACTGTGAACTCCTTCTCCGGGGAGGAGGAGGAGGAGGAGGAGGAGCAGGAGGAGGAGCAGGAGGAGGAGGAGGAGGAAACATTGTTTGGGGATGCGACCTGTCGCTGGCACCCGGGTGGAGTGGCTCCGTCCACTCAGGTGCGGTAAGCAAGCCTCCCCGATAGGTGCACCCCTTCTTTTTCTTGGCGTGGAGTGAACAATCGGCCGGGATGCGCCTAGCCCCAGTGGATACGCACCGCAAAATGAAGTGTGTGCCAGGCCTACAGATTCTGCAGGAGGATGAGGAGGGAGGAGCGCACGAGCATCAGTTGAGGAGGAGGCGGCGGCGGCGGAGGAGGAGGACAAGGGGCGGGGGAGTTGTTTTTACGGCGCAAGGCACCTGAGGAGACGGAAGAGATCACCCCGCGAGGCGTGGGGGGAGACTGCACGAATGCCACCCCGCGAACACGTGGCGGCACTGAGGCCCACGACCAGACTTACAAAAATTATACTCCAAGGGAGCAGAGAAGGAAGCGAGAAGGGGCCAGGGCATTGTGCGGATATCCCCTGCGGCCTGAACCCCACTTCATTTGAAAGGCGCACAGCGACACTCCAGAGGGGAAAAAGGAGGAAGGAGGGAGGGAAGGGGAGTGAACAAAGTCTAGAGAAACAGAGACCCGCGCGTGCATACTCCGGAAGGGTTCCTCTCTCCGCCTCTCTCCGTTGGGTTATGCCCACGGTGCTCGCACAGTGTACCCAGCACCTAAGGAGGAGGATGTGAAAGCCAGCAAGAAGACACCAACAGGCGAGAAAGGAGAAGAACGGCGAAGGTACGCTCACAGCCAGAAGCCTCCACGAGTCGCAGTGCCTGACGAAGGCTAACAGTCAAATCGAATACAAGGGGGAGGGCGACGAAGCCGACGGAGGACGAGGGGCAGCGGAGGAGAAGGACGACGACGAATAGGAAGGAGGGAGTAGCGGGAGGAGGAGGAGCAGGAGGAGGAGGAGCAGGAGGAGGAGGGGGAGGAGGGCGACGAGAAGCATCAAGTTCGAGCATCAACAGGAGAAGTTCTGAGGAGGAGGAGGAGGAGGAGGAGGAGGAGGGGAAGGGAAAGTGAAACTCCTTCTCGAAGGCCTCCTTGCGCATGGCCGCGCTCTCCTGCAGAAGAGGCCCAAACGGCGCGAACACAATCCTCGGCGGGTCTGCGAGGATTTCTCGGGTCAGCGCTGGACCTCTCCCCTGGCGCGCGAAGCGACAGGGGGGCCGATTCAAGACGTCCCCGCGATCCTCCTCGTCCTCGTCCTCCTCCTCCTCCTCCTCCTCCTCCTCGTCCAAGACGTCCGCACGGCGGCCTGGAACATGGCCACAAAAATGCCGATCAAAAGTATTCGACCCTCCACCGAAGGCCCAAGGTCCCATGGAGACATCCCAAACTAATCGCATTCGGGTGTGGAGAGCCCGAGCTAGGGGGCAAACAAACCTACCTCGCTTTTGACCACCCTCGCTTCGAAGAGATACCAAGGGATGCCAAACTACGGCCTGTACTGGTCAGGCCGCTTGACGAGGAGGCGCGTGGTATGATTTGTTTTTTCCTGGAAGCAAAAGCGGGGTAGGTAATTCAGGCTCTGACGAGCAGAGGGTATCCCTCCCGAGCTGGAGTTGTTCTTGACTCTGTTGCGAGGTGGCCGGATTCGGCAACCCCGAACCTCAAAAAGTGGGCATCTTCTGCAGGGCCAGACTTTAGGTGCGCTGGCTTCCGCCGACGTGCCCGCCGCCCTTTTTTTGCTCCCGGCGACACATCGCCGCCTCTCCGCCAGGACAGCCGCCTCCCGATCTCTAAACGGCGAGCTCTTCTTCTGGACCGAGGAACGCCCAAGCTGCTTTCATGAGCGGCCCCAGACATCCCGATGCACTCCCCTGGGAATATTCTTTGTCCCAAATCCGTATTCTATGGGCCCAGGCCGGATGACGGACCCCGGAGGCCGAAATCTAGGAGCACACGAAGATTCGAACGAAAAGACAACAGAAAAGCAGATCGTCGGAGCCCCGGGCTTCCGTGCCTTTGGACCTCGGGCGGCCGTGCGGGGCGCTTGTGGCACTCCCGAAACGCTCTCGGCGAGGCGCCGCTGCTGGATCCTCCAAGCTTGAGCTATCGGTGGCGTCTCGATCGCCAGATCGTTCCACTGGAGCCGGCTGTGGGCCACAAGCACTCCCGAAACGCTCTCGGCGAGGCGCCGCTGCTGGATCCTTCAAGCTCGAGCTATCGGTGGCTCCTCAGTCGCCAGCTCGTTCCATGTGAGCCGACTTCTGGGCCACAGGCGGCGCTCGACCTTGCACGCCCGCGGCGGGGCCGCTGCCGCGTCGGCACGGCACGAGCCTGCCGCAGGCTTAGAGAGCCTCCAGGAGGCCAGCAGGAGCCAGCGAGGAGCAGACTCCTCGCGTGGTGCCGCTGTGGTTTTTTGCGGCCTCTCCTCCGGGGAGTGCGCCACCGCGGCGGCCGCGAGCCCAGAGCGCGCGCGGCCGCGCTGCGTCAGGGCGGCGGCGGGCAGCGCCAGCTGCAGCAGCGCCCCCGCGGCCCAGAGGGCGCGGGACATCGCGCTCGACCTCGCGCGAGGAGGTGGGGATCCTAGTCATAAGCGAAAGCTGCCAGCATGGGGGTCACGTCAGGGAAGGGCGATGATCCACTGGCGCAGCCCACGGGCCGACTTCTCTACGCTGCTTCTGGATGCTGGCTGCTCGCCGCAGGCGGCTCGGAAGATGTGCGTCGAAATGGACAGGGGTCTGGGTGCGAAGAGGCGGGGATGAGGGGCTCAACCCCCCAAGATGGCCGCAAGACGGCCCCAGCGGCTCCTGGTTAGTACTTTCGGGCCCCCCGGCCGCCCAAAGGCGGCGCCAGGGCCCGCCATCACCGCCCCGGTGGCGACCCAAGAGAGCTCCCAGAAGCGGGCCCCCTGAGAGCCTTGGCGGCCCCCGGCTCCCCGACCTCGCAGGACTTCCGACGGGCCACACGATCTGCGGCCCCACGCGGGGATGCACGATGGGGGGAGCGTCCTCCCCCCGGGATAGGGGGCGCGCCTGCATTTGCCCCTAGGGGTACACGTCGTTCATTTCTAGTCGCGCTCAGTTCTAATTGTGCTCGTTTGTAATTGTTCCTGGCCCCCTAGTGGCCAGGAAGAGGCCCAGGATAGAACAAGTAGAAATGAGAGGAACTTGGCCCCCCAGAAAATCAAATCACTTTCAAATAATTCGTAATTAACAATGTGTACGTCTCCCAGCCCTCCTTCGCTGAGCACTCGGTGCACGAGAGGGGGGCTGAGCTCCAGCACTGGGGGGCGGAGACATCGCCCGCGCGGTTGGGAGACACCTCTAGTGGACGCTTCGTGGGAGCGGCTGTGGACCAGCAGGCCAGACGAAGGGGCTGCCCGACCTAGTCAAACTGCACCAGGCCCACTGCCGGGGCTGCGCGGGGGCCGGCAGGATCGGGAAGGCTTTCGACTCCGGGACATACCGGCGTCGATGATCGCCGATGATCGGCAACCTAGAATGGAGGAGGATGAAAAGGACCCCCACTCCCTCGCGTAGGGAAGACATCACGGCGAAAAGGTTTTTGTCAGTAGAGCTACCCCGGATGGAAAACTACCCTGGGGGCCCAGATCGATAAATGAGCGAGAAGAGGAAGGAGAAGGAAGCACGCCCGACCTTGTATGGACAATCAAGTACAGAGTTGATATGACTGCACTGAGACTCTCAGTGCTGGACCAAGTAGTGTTTCGCTGCCCTCGACGGGCTTGAGACAAAACGGATGCGGTTCGCCGTCTCTCCCTGCTTGCTCCCCGGACGAAGAGAAGGGCGAAGAGGACAACGTGGCGAGTGATTACATGTGCGGAGGGAAGTAAGAAAAATATGGGCTGGGGCAGGAAACTACAAATCGTAAAACCGTAGCATTGAGGTACTGATGTAGCTCGCGCCTTGGACCATTGCACATCGAATTATCGGATACCGTGTATAGAGGCGCACGCGACGTTGACACGGGACACTGCTGTGAATAATTCGACGCATGCTTCGGATTCGATCCCGATAGGCTTCTACAACAGAATCATGCACACCATTCGTATGTACGTGTACCTGTTGAGAGTAATGTTAGCCAGCAAAGACCTTCAGTGTGCTTCTAGAAATACATATATAGTACAATATACGGTGTGCACTTTATTGTGCAGTCTATGCTGTGAAATATATGTCGTGGAATATGTGTGGGGCAGTTGTGCTGTGCAGAATATGTTGTGCAATATAGGTTTGCAAAATATGTGGTGCAGTGTGTGTTGCGCAGTAGGTGTCTTGCATCCCAAGTTGTGAACAATCAAGAAGCGCGCCGCAGGCGCGAACAAAACATCGTGTGAACGATGTGGTGCAATCGATATGGGCCAATCTGCGTGGTGCAATCTATGTGGTGCAACCCACTCTGCGGAACTTGAAGTCGTCATCTCCACTGCTCGCGCAAACATCCCACCCACCCACCCGCAACTTGGTTTGCAAAACCTGTTAAGACCGACTACGACGACACCGACGACAACGACTAGGACGGCACCGACGACGTCTCCGACGACTTCGACGACGACAACGACGCCGACGCTGGCGACGACGAAGACTACGAAGACGACGCCAACGAAGGCGACGACGAGGAAGGAGGAAGGACGACGACGGCGACAACGACGACAACGACGACAACGACGAGGGAGGAGGGAGGACGGCGACGACGCGAACGACGACGAAGGAGGAAGGATGGCGACGCCGACGACGACAACGACGAGGGAGGAGGGAAGACGACGACAACGACGACGACGACGACGACGGCGACGAAATAGGAGGGACGACGACGAGACGCCGACGACGGACGACGACGACGAGGGAGGAGGAGGAAGGACGACCACGGCGACAACGACGACGGAAACGACAACGACGCCAAAGAGGACGACGACGACGAACACGAGAAAAGACAGAGGACGACGTAGGCGACGACGACGACGACGACGACGCGGGAGGAGGGAGGACGGCGACGACGACGACGACGACGCAAGAGCGCGCGCGCACGCTTTTGTTGAAAATCCGTGTTGCGAAACCTGGGGTTCTTGTAGGTTTTTGGACGCACGATTTTGAAATCCTTCCGAAACCGATGGGTTTTGAAGGTTTTCGGCATACGTCCGCGACGACGCGCGCGTCTGCACTTCGTCCCATTTTTTGCAGAGGATTCTCGCGACGGCACACGCGCAAGGGCGTTCGACAGATTTCGACATGCGCGCGCGCGAAGCCCGTTGGGTATCATTTTGTGAAAATCTTGCAAAACCTATGGTTTTCTTAAGATTTCGCAAGAGCTCGCGCGGAAGCTTTTTCAGCAAATTAGTGTTGCGAAACCATGTGTGGTTTGTATGGTTTTCGGAAACTGGATGGCGAAATCCTTCCGGCACCGAAGGCTTTTGGAAGGATTTCGGCATGCGCGGGCCTGGCATGGTATGATTTCATATTTAGGATGGACGAGTGTGCAGAATATATACGAAATTGTACTATCCCAGGGGGAAGCGATAAGTCCAGGGGGGGTAGAGTATATTCTCTTTTCAGAAAGGAGAATCTACGCGGTGCAATTAATCTTGACCGTCTTGAAGCTGTCCTCTCCACTGCTCGTGCAAACATCCCACCCTCCCACCCGCAACTTGGTCGCAAGACCTCTTCAGACAAGACCGTGACGGTAGGTACCACATGTCACTTGGCCACGACACCGACGCCGACGACGACAGCGACATCGAGGACGACGGCGACGCCGACACCGACTGCGACGACACCGACGACGTCTCCAATGTTTTCGACGACAACGACGACGACGACACCCACGACGACGACAAAGACACCGACGACGTCGCCAACGGAGACGACGACGAGGGAGGAGAAAAAACGACGACGGCGACAACGTCGACAACGACGATAGAGAAGGGAGGACGGCGACGACGCCAACAACGAAGAAGGAGGAAGGACGGCGACGCCGACGACGACAACGACGAGGGAGGAGGGAAGACGACGACGACGACAACGACGACGAAGACGACGACGACGGCGACGAAATAGGAGGGACGACGACGAGACGCCGACGACGGACGACGACGACGAGGGAGGAGGATACCGACGAGGGAGGAGTGAAGACCACGACGACGACGACGACGACGACGACGGCGACGAAATAGGAGGGACAACGACGAGACGCCGACGAAGACAACGAGGGAGGAAGGACGACCACGGCGACAACGACGACGGAAGCGACGACGACGCCAAGACGACGACGACGACGACGACGACGAGGAAAGACAGAAGACGACGACGGCGTCGACGACGACGACGAGGGAGGAGGGAGGACGACGACGACGACGACGACGCAAGAGCGCGCGCGCACGCTTTTGTTGAAAATCCGTGTTGCGAAACCTAGGGTTTTTGTAGGTTTTTTGGACGCGCGATTTCGAAATCCTTCCGAAACCGATGGGTTTTGAAGGTTTTCGGCATACGCCCGCGACGACGCGCGCGTCTGCACTTCGTCCCGTTTTTTGCAGAGGATTCTCGCGACGGCACACGCGCAAGGGCGTCCGACAGATTTCGACATGCGCGCGCGAAACCCGTTTGGTAGCATTTTTTGAAAATATTGAAAACCTATGGTTTTCTTAAGATTTCGCAAGAGCTCGCGCGGAAGTTTTTTTAGCAAATCAGTGTTGCGAAACCATGTGTTTTTGTATGTTTTTCGGAAACTCGATTGCGAAATCCTTCCGGCACCCAAGGTTTTTGAAGGATTTCGGCATGCGCGCGCGACGACGCGCGCGTGTGCACTTCGTCCCATTTGTTGCTAGGGATTCGCGAAAAAGTGTTATGTTAGAAAGAAAAATGTCCCCGCATAGTGTTATTTGACAGGGAACCGCAGGGGGGGGGGAACCCGGCTTGGCTGGGATGGTATGAACTCATATTTCGGATGGACATGTGGTCATAATCATATGTGATTTACAGCACGCGCGGGGGACCCGATAAGTCCGGGGGGGGGGGTAGAATCTATTAGTCTTTTTAAAAAAGAGAATCCACTTCGACTGTCTTGAAGCTGTCCTCTCCACTGCTCGTGCAAACATCCCACCCTCCCACCCGCAACTTGGTCGCAAGACATCTTCATACAAGACCGTGGCGGCAGGTACTGCGTGGCACTTGGCCACGACACCGATGCCGACGACGACAGCGACATCGACGACGACGGCGCCGCCGACAGCGACTGCGACGACACCGACGACGTCTCCAATGTTTCGACGACGACAACGACGACGACGACACCGACGATGACGACAACGACGCCGACGCCGACGACGAAGACGACGACGACGTCGCCAACGGAGACGACGACGAGGGAGGAGAAAAAACGACGACGGCGACAACGACGACAACGACGATGGGGGAGGGAAGACGGCGACGACGCCAACGACGAAGAAGGAGGAAGGACGGCGACGCCGACGACAACGACGAGGGAGGAGGGAAGACGACGACGATGACAACGACGACGAAGACGACGACGACGGCGACGAAATAGGAGGGACGACGACGAGACGCCGACGACGGACGACGACGAGGGAGGAGGATAACGACGAGGGAGGAGTGAAGACCACGACGACGACGACGACGACGACGGCGACGAAATAGGAGGGACAACGACGAGACGCCGACGAAGACCACGAGGGAGGAAGGACGACCACGGCGACAACGACGACGGAAACGACGACGACGCCAAAGACGACGAGGAAACACAGAAGACGACGACGGCGACGACGACGACGACGACGACGAGGGAGGAGGGAGGACGACGACGACGACGACGACGCAAGAGCGCGCGCGCACAATTTTGTTGAAAACCCGTGTTGCGAAACCTTGTGTTTTTGTATGTTTTTGGGACGCACGATTTCGAAATTCTTCCGAAACCGCAGGTTTTTGAAGGATTTCGGCATACGCCCGCGACGACGCGCGCGTCTGCACTTCGTCCCTTTTTTTGCAGAGGATTCTCGCGACGGCACACGCGCAAGAGCGTTCGACAGATTTCGACATGCGCGCGCGCGAAGCCCGTTTGGTAGCATTTTGTGAAAATCTTGGAAAACCTATGGTTTTGTTAAGATTTCGCAAGAGCTCGCGCGTAAGTTGTTTTGGGGACCAGTGTTGCGAAACCATGTGTCTCTGAATGTTTTTTGGAAATTCAAGTTTGAAATCTCTCCGGAACCGAAGGTTTTTGAAGGATTTCGGCATGCGCGCGCCACGACGCGCGCGTGTGCACGTCGTCCCATTTTTTGCAAGGGATTCGTGAACAAGTGCTATGTTAGAACAAAACATGTCACCGCATAGTGTTTTTTACAAAGGAACCGCAAGGGGGGGAACCCCGCTTGGTTGGGATGGTATGAATTCATTTTTAAGATGGACATGTGGTCATAATCATATGTAATTTACAGCACGCGCGGGGGACCCGATAAGTCGGGGGGGGGGGGGTAGAATCTATTAGTCTTCTAGAAAGGAGAATATATCCAGTGTAACGTGGGTGGTGCAGTAGATGTTGTGCAACTATGCGGTCGTCGTGACGCCGTCTTCCACATGAAGGGAACAGCCATAGTGTGAACGGCTTGCAACACTGTGCGAAGCAACGGTTCGACACTACAGATTCGTTTCGTCCAATGCACAGGGCAAACACGCTGAACAAAACTTTGAATCACACGGCACGCAAGCAAACATTCCACGGCCCACGAGTTGAAACGGGCAATGCGGGAACAGACAGTACGTGCTGCATGGCCGTGCACGTACGTTGCGCCATACAG